TCACAAGCCACATGTGGCTCTTTGGCCCCGTGAGTGTGGCTCTTCCACAAAATACCGACTTCTGCACATGGGCCACGAAGTTTCAATCGCACTGTATGTGCATGCCTGCAAGTGGTATTTTGTAGAGGAGCCACACTCAAGGGGCCAACGAGCCACATGTGGCTCACGAGCCACAGTTTGCCGACCACTGCACTAGTGGATGGAAGCAGATCTACATAACAACAAACCCAAAAGGACCTTCCAGGCTAATGAGATTACATGCATGCAGGTTTTACCTTAGAAAGTAATAGACAAGGGACTTCAAAGGCAGCCTAGAAGCTCTGGTTTTGGGATAGTCTTAGTCATATGGGGTAGCTAGTAAAATCAAACCAAGAATGTGCCTCTTGCCTAAACACTCGGCTCTCCCAAACAGGAGATGGCTACCTGATCCATTAAGAATAATGAACAGTGTACAAAAGCTACATAAGTATACAGTACCTTTTCCCCCACAAAATGTTTTTTGAAAACAAGAATTCTATAAGATTGGGGCCATTTCATCTTACAGAAATGTAATACAGTTGTTACTGGCTCAGCATTACTGTCATACCTTTCATAGATGTGGTAATATTTCTCATCCTGTATGCCATCTTGAATGGGCACATTCACACTGTAGTACCGTCCCTTCCCTAGGCCAACATCAGTCACATCACCTGTTCCTGTAAAAGAGATGGGCACCATGAATAGTTTTAAGAACACGAGAATTAGAAAAGTTGAAGGATTCTCTGATAGGAATTCAGAAAATCAGAAGGTGAAATAGAGCACTGTCCTGTGATGGTTTTTGTAAAAGAATGAATTAAAATAATATGGAGAAGTGACTGTTGAAAATAATGTTGGGGAAGCAGAAAAATTATAAGAAAATGGGACGTGTCAGAGGAGGATAGGTTTTAGTTCTTCCTTGAATGTTTGGTAAAACTCCCCTGTGAAGCCATCTGGCCCCGGGCTTTTGTTTGCTCGAAGCTTTTTGGTTACTGCTTTAATTTCTTCCATAGTTATTGGCCTGTTGAGATTTTTAGATTCTTCCTGATTGAGTTTTGGAAGGTTGTATTTTTCTAGGAATATGTCCATTTCCCCCAGGTTTTCTAG